TTCATCCATTTTGAGTTTTTTCTTGTATATAATGTAAGAAGGTGGTCTAGTTTCATTGTAGCTGTCCAATATTCATTCCTAACCCCATTTATTGAATAGACTACCTTTACCTGATTGTATGTTTTTTCCTCCTTTGTCAAATATTGACTATAAAGGTGTGGGTTTATTTCTAGGCTGTTTTGTTCCATTGATCTGTATGTCTATTAATATATCAGCACCATGCTGTTTTGATTACTATAGCACTGTAGTATAACTTGATATCAAGTACTGTGATTCTTCCAACTATTTGATTCTTCCAACTTTGTTCTGCTTTCTCAAGACTATTATTGCTATTCAAGGTCTTTGGTGGTTCCATATACATTTTTGGAATATTTGTTCTAGTTGTATGATATACTGCACTAGTATCTTGATAGGAACTGCATTGAATCTATACATAAAACTGGGTATGCTATGAACATTTTGATGATGTTACATTCTTCCTATCCATGAACACAGTATATGCTTCCACTTATTTGTATCTTCCAAATTTCTTTCTTCAGTGTCTTATAATTTCCTGAGTACAGACAGGTCTTTTACATCCTTAAATTTATTCAGGGGTTTTTTATTCTTTTTTTAAAAGATTTTTAAAATTTATTTATCTTTTTAAATTTTTTTTTAATTTAGTTACTTTTCAAGTAGTTTTTTTTGTCTATTTCTCCCATCCCAGCCCACCCTCCCCATCCAGTATTTTTATTCTTTTTGAAGCAATTGTGAATGAGACTGTTTTCTTAGTTTCCCTTTCTGACAGTCATTATTGGTATATGAAAAAGCAACTGATTTCTGAATATTTTGTATTCTGCTACTTTACTGAATTCATTGATCAAGTGTAGTAGTTTTGGGTGAAACCTTTAAGGTTCTCTATATATAATGTCATGTCATCTGCAAATAATGACAGTTGTACTTCTTCCTTTCCAATTTGGATGCCTTTTACTTATTCTTTTTGTCTGACTGCTTTGGCTAGAACTTCCAGTACTATGATTAGTATGAGTGGTGAAAGCAGCCCCTAACTATGGCTCAGCTGGTTGTAAAGTGTCATTCTGTACACGAAAAAGGTTGAAGGTTTGATTCCCTGTCAGGGAACATACCTAGGTTGCAAATTCGATTCCTGGTTGGGGCATGTATGGGAAGTACTTGATGGATGTTTCTCTCACATCAATGTTTCTCTATCTCTAAAATCAATAAACATATCCTCAAGTTGGGGATTTTTTTCTAAAGTATTTTTTATTGATCATGCTATTACGATTTTCCTAATTTTCCCTTTTATCTCCCCCCTGACCTGGCCTCCAATCGCCAGCAATCCCCCCTCCTTAGTTCATGTCCATGGGTCATACATATAAGTTCTTTGAGTCCTGTTTACTATACCATTTTTTATTGCTCCCCATCTACTGTATGGCTATTAATTATGCTTCTTCTTCCCTGTATCTTTTACCCCCTATTCCTTCCTTCCCCCTCCCCAATGAAATTCCTCTAGGTGATGTCCATTTCTCTGATTCTGTTCCTGTTCTAGTGGTTGCTTAGTTTTTGCTTTCATTGTTTTTCTTTTCTTTTAGGTTCATTTGTTGATAGTTGTGAATCTGTTGTCATTTTCCTGTTCTATTTTTTATCTTCTTTTTCTTAGTAAGTTCCTTTAACATTTCATATAATAATGGCTTGGTGATGATGAACTCCTTTAATTTGACCTTATCTGGGAAGCACTTTATCTGCCCTTTCATTCTAAATGAAAGCTTTGCTGAATAGAGTCATCTTGGATATAGGTCCTTGACTTTCATGACTTCAAATACTTCTTTTTAGCCCCTTCTTGCCTTTAAGGTTTCTTTTGGCAAGTCAGCTGATAGCCTTATAGGAGCTCCTTTGTACGTAACTATCTCCTTTTCTCTTGCTGCTTTTAGAATTTTCTCTTTGTCTTTAATCTTGGGTAATTTAATGATGATGTGCTTTGGTGTGTTCCTCTTTGGGTCCAACTTCTTTAGGATTCTTTGGGCTTTCCTGGACTTTCTGGAAGTCTATTTCCTTTTCCAGATTGGGTAAGTTTTCCTTCATTATTTGTTCAAGTAAGTTTTCTTGCTGTTGTTCTTCTCCTTCTGGCACCCCTATAATTCAAATATTGGAATATTTCAGGTTGTCCCAGAAGTTTGTAAGTCTCTCTTTACTTTTTTGAATTCTTGTTTCTTCATTCTGTTCCAGATGAATGTTTATTTTTACCTTTTGTTCCAAATCATTGCTTTGAGCACTGGTTTCCATCCTGTCACTGTTGGATGCCTGAATTTTGCTTTATTTCATTCTGGGTATCTTTTATTTGTTTTTTCGTTTTTTGACCAAGCTCAATCAGTTCTGTGAGCATTTTGATTACCAGGACTTTAAATTCTCCATCATATAGGTTGGCTATCTCCTCATTTCTTAGCTCTCCTTCTGAAGTTTTGCTCTGTTCTTTCATTTGGGCCATATTTCTTTGTCTTGGAGCACCAGCCTGGTAGTTCTGGTTGATTTTTTCATTAATTCCTTGGTTGTTGGATTTCCATGCAGTTTGACTTTCTGGCACTTCTGGTTGTTTATTAATTTTACATTGGTTATATCATCCTTTTGGTTGTATGAAGAAGTGAAGGGTTTCTACCTATGCCTCCCTCTTGGCTGGAACTTCCCCAATCATCCCTTGGGTGAGGATTAAAAACAAAACAGTGGTGACAATAGACATCCCTGTCTTATTTCAATCCTAAGGGAAATATTTCCATGTTTTCCACTGAGTATGATGCTGGCTGTGAGTCTGTTATATAGCACATTGAGGTATATTCCTATTATTCTTACTTTACAAAGAGTTTTATAAGTTTTATCATAAAATAGTACTGGATTTTATCAAATCCTTTTTCTGTATCTACTGATACAACCATGTGATTCTGTCCATTTTATGTGGTATATGATGTTTATTGACTCACAAATACTGTACTAACTTTGCATCCCCAGAATAAATCCCACTTCATCATACTATCGATCTTTTTAACGTACTGCTGCATCCAGTTTGCTAATATTTTGCTGAGGATTCTACCATCTATGTTCATCAGGGATACTGGCCTATAATTTTCTTTCTTTGTCATGTCTTTATCTGGTTATGGAAATAAGATACTGCTGGTCTCATAAAATGAGCTCGGGAGTCTCCCCTCCTCTTGCATTTTTTGGAATAATTGGAGAATGATAGAAGTTACTTCTTTGAATGTTTGGTAAAAATTCACCTGTGAACATATCCAGCCCAGGACTTTTGTTTGTTCTAAGTTTTTTTTAATTCTTCTCCAATTTCACTAGGTGCAATTTGTCTATTCAGATTCTCTTGATTCTTTTTGATTCAGTTTAAGATTTTAAGTTTCCAGAATTGTACCCATTTCCTCTAGATTACCCAATTTGTTGGGATGTAGTTGTTCATAATAGTTTACTACAAACCTTTGAATTTCTTTAATGTCAGTTGTTACTTCTCTTTCATTTCTGATATTATTTATTTGGATTCTCTCTCTCTTTTTATATATTTTTTTTGCTGTGTCTGGTTAGAGGTGTGTTGATTTTATCTTTTTAAAGAACCAGTTCTTAATTTCATTGATCTTTTGCATGTTCTGTTAGACTCTTATTACATTTATTTATGCTCTGATCTGTATTATTTACTTCCTTGTACTACTTTGGGCTGCTTGTTGTTTTTGAAGTCCTTTAAGTGTATAATTGGATTGTTTGTTTGAAATTTTTCTTGTTTCTTTAAGTAGGCCTGTAATGCTGTAAATTTCCCACTTAGGACTGCTTTTGCTGTGTTCCACAGATATTGGGTTGTTATGTTCTCATTTTCATTTGCTTCATGATAACTTTTTATTTCTTTTATCCCATTGTTAACCCATTCATTGTTTAGGTAACATGTTATTTAGCCTCCATGTCTTTGTGTGTTTTTCAGGTTTTTCCCCTTGTGACTGATTTCTAGTTTCATAAAAATAGTCAGAGAAGATGCTTGATATGATTTCAATCTTCTTAAATTTACTGAGACTTGTTTCATGTCCTAACACGTGGTCTATCCTAGAAAATATTCCATATACACTTGATAAGAATACATATATTTTGCTGCTTTGGGGTAAAATGCTCCAAAGATAACCAGTTAAGTCCATTCAATGTAGTGTGTTCTTTAAGTCCACCATTTCCATGTTTATTTTCTATCTGGAAGATACATCCATTGATGGGTGTTAAAATCCCCTACTATGGCCCTGGCTGGTGTGGCTTTGTTGGTTGGAGCATCATCCCATGCACCGAAGGACTGGTGACTCGATTCTCGGTACGGGTACATGGCTGGGTTGTGGGTTCAATCCATGGTTAAGGCATGTATGACAGGCAACCAATCAAAGTTTTTCTCTCCCTTCCTCTTTTTAAAATCAATAAACTTAAAAAAAAACCCTACTATGACTGTATTCACCACCAATCTCTCCTTTTATATCAAGGTTTGTTTTGCATATTTGGGTGCTCCTATGTTGTATGCATAAATGTTTACAATGGTTATATCCTCCTGCTGGATTTCTCCCTTTATAAATACAATAGTATCCTTCTTCGTCTCTTACTAAAGCCTTTGTTTTCGTCGTCTTAGTCAGATGTAAGCATTGCTACTCCAGCTTTTTTTTCCTTTCCATTTGCACGTACTATCTTTTTCCATCTCTTCTAAATAAATTTTCAAATGAGAAAAATGTCCTTTATAGTTATCCACATATTTATGTTCCTCATTCTTTGTATAAATCTGTTTCCATCGCCTTTCCTTTTTCTACCTGAAGAATCTATATTAACAATTCTTACAGTATAGATCTCCTATAGACAAATTCCCTCAGACAAATTCCTTTTGTTTGTGTGAAAATGATCTTTAATTTGTCCTCATTTTTTAAAATTATTTTCACAGAATATAGAATCCTAGTTTGACATTTTTTCCAACACTTTGAAAATATAATTATATAATCTTCAGTTTGTACTATGTAAGAAGTCAGAAGTTATTCTTGCACAGGGACCATGCTAATCCTCTCTATATCGTTCCAATTTTAGTATATGTGCTGCCAAAGCGAGCATAAGAAGTTATTCTTGTATTTGTTCCCCTGTATATAAAAATATCTTTTCTGTATCTACTTTTATTTATGGTTTTCTCGGTTTCAATGGTTTCCAATAATTTGATTATAATATGCCTGTGTGTGTGTGTGTGTGTGTGTGTGTGTGTGTGTGTGTTCTACCTGGGTTTCATTGAGCTTCTTGGACCATAAATTAAATTTTTCTTCATATTAAAACATTTGAGACATTAATATTTGAAATGTTTTCTGCATCCCTTGCCCCCATATCCAGTAATTTTCTCTTTCTGATAGATCTAGATGGCATCTATTGTCTTATTGTCCTTTATTCGTGTTTAGCCACTGTCTTCTGCAGTAATTAATTTGCTCTTATCTATTAAATATTTCAATTCGGAAGATGTACTTTTCAGTTCTGTAAGTTATATTTAGTTCTTTCTTATAATTTGTATTCTTGTTTGTTTTTATATTTTTCTGTTCGTCTTTGAACGTATTTACAGTTGCTGTTTTAAAGTCCTGTGCTAATAGAAGTAATTTCTGGTTCTGTTTCTACTGGTGGTTTTTCTCCTGATTATAGATCACATTTTTCAACTTCTTATCATCTAGTAATGTTTTGTGAATGCTGGGTATTGTGAATGTTACATTATTGAGCATCTGCATTCTGCATACTCTTCTAACAAGCATTACCAAATTTTGCTCTGAGAGGCAGCTAATTTACCTGAAAGTCACCTTGATCATTTTGAAGTTTGGTTTTTCAGCTTAGTTACAGTAAGTCTCCTATAGCCTTCAACTCCAGGGTGAAATCAGCCTACTCCTAAAATGGCTTGGGATATATAACAAGTGTATTTTCTAATAATACATTGATTCCACAGTAGTTTTTCTTTCCCTGGTAGTTTCCTCACAGAATTTCACCCTGTGCACGTATAGCTTAATATTCACCTAAGACTCAAGGAAACCCTTGTGCAGATATCTGGATGTTTTTCTCAGTATAGCCATCTCCTCTCATACTCTGCCTCCCTGAACTGTGACCTGTTTGTTCAACTCAGTGAGACTGCTGTACACTTCCTGCTCTTTTTGAGATACCCTTCCTTGTGCAATAACTGAAATTTTTTCTCCAGTCAAAAGGTCAGGGAAATCACAGAGATATTTATTTTTCCTCTCTCAAGAATTGCGATCCTACATTGCTTGTTTCCAATGTTTGAAAACAACTGTTTCATATATTTTGTTTTCTACTTGATTTCTGTAAGAATGATAGCTGGATACCAGTTACTCAGGATGGGAATGGGAACTATTTACTTTTACTACTAAGAGTTTCAAAGTTTTCATTTTAGACATTTAATACTTTAATCCATCTGGAGTTTTGTTTTAAATATGTTAAGAAATAGAGATCCAAGTTAATCCTTTTCCAAATGGAGAAACACTTTTTTCTGGCTCCATTTATTCAATCATCCCTTCTATTCCTCACCTATTTGAGATCCCAATTCTAATATATAACCAAGTTTCATATATGTATAGGTCTCTTCATGAGCACTCAATTTTACTCCTCTGGTTAAACTGTTCATTCCTACATTAATATCACACTCATAACTGCTATAGCATGTTTTTGATACATTCTAGGGGAAATCCCTCTTTCTTTCTTGTTCATTGCCTTTATTTTTATTTTTATTTTTTTACAGTGTACAATTTTTATATTTAGAATGAGCCAGCTAGACTCTGTTTAGAAGATCCCAATTTTGTTAATATCATCAAAGCATCACAGTCAGGAGCAAGTTCAACATATGCTGTCTTCTATCAGACCTGATCATAGAGCTTCTTCATAGCCTTTTTGATCTGGTGCTGTTGGCCTTGACAACCACAATGAATGCAAGTGTATTGTTGTCTTCTATCTTTGTAATGGCTGACTTAGTAGTTAGAGGAAACTTGATGATGGCATAGTGGTTCCATCTATGCCATCTCCTGGGGGCACTCTTCGGAGGATATTGAGGCTGCCTTGGGAGTCGCAGTGTCTTTGGCCATCAGAAGGTACATGATATGAGGATCTCCTTTTTTTGTGTGGCTGCAAAAGCCTTTCAGCATTTTCTTTGCCTTCAAAGCCTTTACTTTGGCTTCAGCTTTCAGAAGGGCAGGGGCTTCCTTCTTCGCTTTTGGTGCCATTTCTGTGAAAAGGCTTGCTCATCACCTTTAGATAGGCCCTACTTCTTCTCAATAAGTGTTTTACCATAACATTTTTTTTCATTTTTAACTTGAGTTTTAAGTAACTATAAACCTATACCTATAACAAGAAAAAAGAAGTTGAAAAAAGAATAAAAGTCAAATAGTGAAAGATCTTACAATTAAAACATCAATAGCACTGAGATTATTATTAGGGTATTTAACAATCTGTTTGCTTAAAGACACACAACTCTCAGTGTTAAACTGGGAAGTCCCAGGCAAACAAGGTGAAGTCAGTCAATTTAATTTTTATACTAGTACAAATACTTGCACATTTATAGAAAACACAAGTTCACACTGAATGTTTTTTAAATTCTATGGTAAAACATGTAAGACTGGGTATGTTTTGAACATGCAGTGTAATGTTTACTGAATCACACAGATTTGTATTTAAATCTCAGCACCACGTCTCTATTACAGGCAAGTTAACTGGTCTCTCTGAGCATTAAACAATATCAGTATTTCTCCAGTGTTGTAAACCTTCCAGAAATTCTAGAACATATATTTATTGAATTTTTAAAAAAACTGATCTTACAGAAAGAGAGGAAGAGGAAGAGAGAGAGAGAAACACTGATTTGTTTTTCCACTTATTGATGCATTCATTGGTCATCTCTTGTATGTGCCCTGACTGGAGATTGACCTTGCAACCTTGGTACATCAGACAATGCTCCAACCAACTGAACTACCTGGCCAGGGTCAGGACATATATTTTTAATGTAGAAACACATGCCCAAGTTCATTTCCACTTCTTAAATGCAAGCTAGTTTTAAAATCCTTACCTGTCTTATTTCCTCTACACCAGTCATCTGATACTTCTTCATCCTTTCAAATACTGAATGATCTGCACAGCCCCCCTGTGGACCATATTTATGGGGATAGTCTAAAACACAAAGACAAAATAACATTATTGTCACATTTATAATTACCTTATAAATGAAAATTTAACTGTCGTAACTAATATAGGAAAGGAATTATGTTGGCATTCTAATTCTCAAATCTAGTAGGTTCCTAAGTTCCCTCTCAATAAAACATCACTGGCCTCTAGAACTTTATCATATAGATGATTTGTAAATTCTAAAAAAGGACAATAATCATGATTTATTCTGAGTTTAACTTTCCCAACTTTTCCCACTTAGGACCTACAGAACAACTTAATACTACAATTTGCTGCATTTTGTAATTTAAAATTTTCCCTTCAAACACAATGAATTCCTATGCTGCAAAGTACAAAGCCACCTCTATCTGAACTACAGTTAGGCTAATATAATATTATAGTTGGCTTGAATTTCTTCAATGATTACCAACTGGCCACAGAAAAGTGACCTAGAAACATGTTTCCTAGTACAGTAAAAGCAGACAGTTTAAATTTACTCAATATATAATTCAAGCAAATGCTTTATAAACGAAAACTATTTTACCACCCATTTTTTTTCCTTTACAATTAAACAATGATTAATATATCCTTAACTGAATTGGTTCTATCTTCAGAGAGCTGTTCAATTTAGTTTGGTCATTTAAAAGTTTACTCCACTATCCCAAAGTTCACATACTTCTCCACTGTTAAGGTCCTTCTTAGTTCATGAACATATTTTATAATTCAATCTAGTAACCATAATTAGGAGAACTGTCGAAATAAGATGTCAAGACATGGGTGGGAGGGGAAGCACTGAAAATCTCTTATCTATAAGTAGCTTATAGATGTAATCCACAGAGTTACAATTAGGAACTCTGCAAGTAGTTTCTTAAGTGGACACTACTAACCTATTTTACTGAAAATACGAATTAAATACTATAATAAAAATCTAAACTGGCAGATAGAAGTTATGGACAACACACCTACACTGATATAACAGTTCTAAATTAAACTTTTAAATTAATTTTTATCAGGGGTCAAGATTGCAACAGCTGTAAAATTCTAATCAATACATGTGAAAGAAATGATAGACTTAAAAGTTACCATTTTACAACCCCACAGGTCTTAGTTAATGCAGGCCAGGATCATCAATGGGTGCTAAAACCACTGAGTGAAAGATGTGAGGTAACAGGATATTCATAGTCTCTGAAAGTATCCTTCCACAGATTGCTTAATAATTACAGAGAAAAAAGGTTGCTTCAGATCCAAACAATATAGTGATTACCACTTCATCTCAAATGATTTTGAAATGGAAAAGTAACAAAGGAAGTGATGAACTAGGAAAAAAACTAATATTTATTACTTTATCATTTCAAAAACTAGCTTTAGCAAAGTGAAAATACAATACCACCTAACATATATTTAATAAGAATCTACCACAGAGGCTAGAAAGTTTTATAGTGTAACATGCCAGGGTTTTCAATTCTTACCATTTAGTAGATTTGTAGTACTACGCCACAACTGTCTTCTTCTGCTACTGTAATTTCAACCTGAAAATGCCCCAATGAGTCTTGCCCAAATTCTTAATGGAACCTAGCTTGCCTGGACCACTAACTAAAGTTCCTCCATGTCAAGAACACAATGTAAAGGCATACTCAGAGACAAGTGTACGTACAGGCTTAAGTTCTTTATTCAGTTAATGGACTTTAGAGCTCTTGGAATTTTTCTACTCATTTTCGTTATCACATAAAGTCAAGTTCATAGTTTGATATCATTTTTACCTCCACTATTTTGTGCTATTTTAGCCAATATTGGAATAGTCCAGTATCCAGCAACTAAAAAATGTGGCCTGACTCTCTGGCTAGTTTTTCCTTAAATCATGGATAAGAAAGTAATTTACCTATTTCTAACAAGATAACAAGGTAAACGAGGAGGAATCCTTCAGC